ATTCAATATTTATTCACATACTCACTAATTCAATACATTATACATTCAACAAAGATATTAACGGCCTGCTATGTACTCTTGGCTCCACATGAGAAAGAAAGACCTGGAGATCTGCTCCCATAAAGATTAGAACTTAGAAAACCCAAAGCGGTTCCATTGTGTTATATGGGCTCACTATGAATTCCAATAAACTTGAAGGCCATTAATAGCAACAACTAGGTACTAGGTATGGCAAAGTATGCTAAATGCAGAAAGTCTAAGTTATTATAAATTAGCTATAATTTATCGAACACTTATGTACCAGATACTATACAAAGTGCTTTACATGACATTTATATTGCTTCATAGCAGGCAAAGAAATTATTTGTGAAAAGGTCAAGTATGTCAGCGTCATACAGATAGTAAATAGCATGGCCAGGATTTGATCTCTGATCAGTTTGACAATCTGCCAGATTTGGCCAGGTAACTTAAGAAATCACAATAAGGTTGTTCACACATGTAAATGTTATTTAATAACTATTAAAATCTAGAGAAAAAAACCAATAAAATATTTTGAATTCGTAAAGCTGTGGATGAAGTACTTTTATACTCACTCACTGCTGTTGAGTCCATGTTGGCTCATAGCGACTCTACAGGATAGGTAGAAATGCCCCTGTGGGTTTCTGAGATTGTAACTCTATGGGAAAGAAAGCCACATCTTTCTCCTGAGATACTTTTATATTATGTCTAATTAGCATGTAGGTTAAATCTGGGGTATGCAAGTCTCAAATAAATTCTCATTTCCCAAACGTATTTATGATGGTGAGGGTTTTCTTTCTTCTTTTAATGCCTCCCCACTCCAATTCTGTTTTGAGACCATATTAATAATGGAAATATTTAAAAGGATAATTTTATTTTGAAACAGGAGAGGGAAATGCATGCTGCAGTATGTCAGAGTTTCCAGAGGAAGATATTATGAACCTGTTTGTCTAAACATATTTTATTTGGGGTTCAGTATGAATTTTCAATAGATGCTTTTCAGATAAGAAAGCAGGAATTCAAATGTAATTACATAAACAAGCAGATAAGGGAGAATTATCTTGAAGGGTATAAAATGAACCTGGAGCTTCTCGTCTGGGTCATTGCAGCATCAGCTCACCCATGCAAAGTCAGGTAAGGGTCTACACCAAGGAAGCCTTATGAAGTGAACTGTTCTAATTTTCTTTCATTACCACTGAGTTATTATTTATTCTAAATCAACAAATGCTGAGTGATAATTTGATTTGATAAGCTTTAACATTTAAAATTATTGCTCTAAATGGTTCGGTGGTGGGCAACGGTGTGTGGACTAACAGCATAAGGTTAAGATAAAATTCCACGGATGTTATAGAAGAACAATTGATCCATTCCCTAATGAATGATAAATGAAGTGCATGGCTTTCTTCTGTTCATTTATTTATCGAAATATTTTTATCAATTGATCAATATACAGAGTAAATCTTCTCAACTACTGATGGGCATCTTTGATGAAAACATATTTCTGGGAAAGTGCAAAGTAAATTAATTTGTAAGCACCCTAGGCGGAATGGACTCTGTATGGTCTTTGGGCTTCCTTAATAGCTAAGCTCTCTTGGATAGTGTCCAACATACACGCATGCTTTATTGTACATGTTGCTCTCTAGAAAATCATCATGCTTTAGCAAAGCTTCAGGACTGTACACGGCAGTTGGGGCAGTTGATTCTTTTCATGGTATTGTTAGGGATTTGGAGAGAAAAGATTGGCAAAGTAAATGATCAGAATAAATTTTTTTAAAGATTGAAGATACCGAGACAGACAAAGAACAGACAAAGGGGCAAACGAAAGAATATATCTTGTAATAATAAGAAAAAAAGTTAAAAGTGGAGACACACCTGGCCATTCCACTGGTATCTCTTAATATTGAGAGACTGAATTGTATTCAGGTGCTCCAGAAATTAATTATGCATGACAATTTTAGAAGAGGTGATTCGGTTGTAGAGATGAGAATCCAGGAACAATATAAGAGAAATTGTGACATATAGGAAGACATCAATTAATATTGATGTATATACTATTATACAGTAATATAGTGTCTATAGAACTCCTTCTATAGAACTCCAGGTAATTCGCATGCATTTTTTATTCTTTTTATGGTTGTAAAACAATGTTTTATCCTATAATCTGAAAAAAGAGTCAAGTGTACTTACCTTTTCTATTTTGCAGATTGAGAAACTAACACCCAGACAGATAAAATATTTTAGTCAATTTCTCATAGATCCGTGCAAAGTGTTAAATAGAATTTCCTTAATTCAGAGACCAAGGACCATGGTGACGTAGTCATTAGGAGTGGGAGTGCAAACTTCAAGATCAGCAGTTGGAAAACACCAGCTGCTCTCTGTAGGACTTTCTATTCTCATAAAGTTACAGTTTCAGAAACTCACAGGGAAGGTTCTAACCTGACCTTTAGATTTCCTTTATGAGGCGGCTTCGACTCGATGACAATGAATTGTTTTATAATTCAGAGACCAATATTCTTACCACTAGCTCACTGAACATCTACTTCCTATAGAAACCTTAACCTAGAAACCAAAAGTAAAATCTGTGAAATGCATTACTTCTAATGGTGAAAAACCGGAAATTGCTGGCTGGCTAGATAGGCAAGAACCATGTGATCATATGGGTGAGAGTTTTGTGTCATTTCCTCAGATTCTGTGGAGGATCCGCTGTTTGTGGGTCTAAGATAATGGAACCACCACTAGGCTACAGAGGGTGCTCACATTTGTTGAAGCATCCGAGAAAACAAGACTCCAAGAGCAACACATTTTATGCTTCCTCACCTTAAATCAACTACTGATCCATTGCCAGGGTATTCCAGAGCAGCCCTGGTGGCTTGGTGCCTGCATCAGGCTGCTAATGAAAAGACCAGAAGTTCTCATCCACAAGCCATTCTTTGTGAGAAAGATGAAGCTTTCTCCTCTGGTAAAGATTTACAGCCTCAGAAACCCACAGTTCTTCTCTGTTCCATAGGTCACCAGACATTGGAATCGACTCGATGGCAGTGAGTTTAGTTTGGGGTTTGCCAAGGAATACTGGAGTATTAAAAGAGTTTACCAGAGAGTCCTTATGACTTTATATTCAATGTTGGAAAGTCTTCTTAAAGTGGGATAATTCACATCCTTTTCTACAGAGAAGTGAAGTAAACAGGGAGTATGTGGTCATTGTGAGCCTGGGAGTCATAACGTGAACTGTCAGAGCATTTAGAGCAATCAATATGTTCTTTATTTGTGTTCATATATGTCCCCTCCAATAGGACTGTCAATCCCTGAGGACAAGAACCACATCTATTCCATTTTGTGTCTTTTCGTGCCTGGCTCAGATATTCAGTGCATATTTACTTTATTAAACTATAGTTCTCATTCTAGGAGTAGGAGATTGGCTGAATGATCAATCACTGGTCACTGGAAGTTGACATTTAAAATCCTTACAACTCCTTTGAATGTGATTTTTACTTGTAAGTTGAACGAAACCAAAATTCCCATTAAATTAGGTTATTTCTATCTATGAAGTTCCAGTGAAGCAAAGTTTTAATGTATTAGCTTAAAATCTTATTGGGATATGACTGGTTGGTTTGAGAAAATTCTCAGACATTTTTGATAACTAAATAAAAATGTTTAGTGAATTATTTAAAATGCTTAGTGAATTTATTTAAAAGAACAAATTTTAAAAATTGTGTTGGTTGATAAGAATACACCATTTAGATGTGCATTTTCTATTTTGGCAAGGATACTTGAGAAGGGGGAACAAACCCCAATACACTTAGCTAGTTGAATAATACTCATATGACAAAAAAATCTTCCTAATCTTTGAGATGATCAACTTACAACCAGAAGTCTGAAATTTGATTGCCTACTCTCAGTAGCAGAACTAAAATAAATTGTATGTTACAACATTACTCAACTCATTATGATGATTAGTATATCTTGAAGTCTTCCTCAGACAGATTTTTGATATACATGTTCTACTTTTCCACTCTTCTATGTAGCCCAGACTTATCCAGCTCTCCCAGGAGCTCATAGTGGATCTCTCAGCCATTGTATGGCTCTCATTTCACAGCTCAATGCTTTTTGCCTCCAACTATTTCTGAATTAATGGGTCTCATACATCTTCTTTGTAAATTGATCTTTTATTTATCTAAATTTTCACCCTTAAAGGAGTGTCTTAAAGGTTGAGAAGGAGAGTTCTGGATTTATAAGTTAGCCCCTTACATCACTGGTCATTTTAATTGTTCTTCTCTGAACTTCCCCCAGCTTAATGGTGTCTTCCCTGAAAGACAATGGGCCAAATTACATATATGTAAGATTCTTGGAGAATACATTGAAATAGTACTAAAGTTTGGTTATGATTCTTGGTCTCTTTGCTCTTTTAGATTATGGCCAGTTTATTCGCCTTTTAGTTGATTCATCCAAAAAGTTCAGGAATCAAAATTTCTGAGCAAGTTCTTCCTGAAGCTTAACTTTTAACTTACTCCTTATAATCATAGAGGTGGGTGTTAATAGATGCTTTTCTATTGTGTTATCGCAGGCTTGCCACTCACTGTCCAGTGGAGTTTAGTGACAATTGTAAATAGGACTTACCGTATATGCTTGAGTATAAGTCGACCCGAATAACAGCCGAGGCACCTAATTTTACCACAAAAACTGTATAAAAATATGTGGAAAAACTCAGTTATACATGAGTATATACAGTAAACTGCGTGAGCTTCTACATTATGGGGTATATGAACCAAAGCCACATCTTGCACCAAATGCATAATAGTGGTTACTGTGAATATTAAATACCTAAAAGCATTTACTTTAGGAACTAGCATATAGTAGGCATTCAATATATGATAGCTATTATTATTACTGGGGATTTGATATATTTGAGCGCTTTTCAAATGTTCCTTCTGAATGCCTTGCAGGGATACATATAATAGGTTCTTTAATTTTATCTTTGATTTAGCATGACTGCTATCTTCCTGATGTCCATGGTTTTGGGCCTTGTTTGTGGGCAAGCTGTGTCTTTTTGTGTTCCAACTGAGTATACCATGCACGTTGAAAGGAGAGAGTGTGCCTATTGCCTAACTATCAACACCACCATCTGTGCTGGATATTGTATCACACGGGTATGTAGTTCAGCTCCCTTCTTTTAGTTTTCAGTTAGATAAATTTACAGTCAGTCAGTTCCTATTCAGAAAAAAAAAATGTGATAAATCATCAATTCGTTCCTAAGATCTAGAGTGCATGGATTACCATATTGTTTTCATACTTTATAACAGTTTCATGTTTCCATATTTACTTAAGCCTTATCGTGCTCCCTTGATCAAGAATGAAAGACTGTCCCTTTTGTCTCCAGGGGAGTTGGTGAGGATGTGTTCTTAGTCCTATTTGTGACAAAGGATACTTGACAGTAAAGAAAAGGGAATTGACCTTTATCTGACTCCGTCATCTCTCTGCTTCCTAAGGCTCCATCACATTATCCTCTCTTTGTCATTTTTCCTCAGGATATCAATGGCAAGCTGTTTCTCCCCAAATACGCTCTGTCTCAGGACGTTTGTACGTACAGAGACTTCATCTACAGGACTGTAGAAATACCAGGATGCCCAGACCATGTCGCTCCCTATTTCTCCTACCCGGTTGCTGTAAGCTGTAAGTGTGGCAGATGTAACACCGACTACAGTGACTGTATACATGAAGCCATCAAGACTAATTACTGTACCAAACCTCAGAAGCCCTACATGATGGGGTTTTCTGTCTGACTTCAATAGAATGTAATTTGCAACTTGGTTAAATGTGCCTATCTGGAATAAAGCTAATAAAATATCAATGTATTTCACAATACTTTACATATTTTTTAGTATTGTTTCATCTATGCACACACTCATGCAAACACTAAACTCTATGTTTTAGAAGAAAAGATAAGTGAAAAACTTTCCAGGTCATATGAAGGACGGTTTCTATGTGAGAGGTTAGAGCAGAGGTAAAACAGAGACCGTGACAGTTGTTAAGCCCCCATGGTGTTGATCCTGACTCTAAGCACAACAGAACCAGCCATTGTCTTGTCCTGCTGTATCCTCACCATTATTGCTATGTTGAAGTGCATTGTTACTGCCACTGGGTCAGTCCATATTGCTGACGGTCTTCCTGTTTGTTTGATTTTGCTGACCCTTTACTAAACATGGTGTCCTTTTATGGGAATTGATCCCTCCTGATAACATGTCCAAAGTACATGAGACATAGCTAAGGGGCATTCTGAATGTATTTCTTACACTGACTTTTTTCTTCATTCTTCAGTCAGTCCATGGTATTTTCAATATTTTTCACCAACACCATAATTCAGAGTATCAACTCTTCTATTGTCGTCTAGTTTTTGCATGCGTTTGAAGAGACTGAAAATGCCATGGCTTGGGCCAGGCATACTTTAATACTCAAAGTGATATATTTGCTTTTTAACACTTTAAAGAGGTCTTTTGCAGCTGAATACAAATGGGCAACGTGGACATGAAATGCTCATGGTACCCAGTCTTGAGCAGACACTCTCAACAGAGAAGCAGGTGGCTTGGCTTGTCAAAAAAAAAAAATAACTGTGGGACCACTGAGAGTTATGAGGAGACAGTAATGTGATTAGAAGCTGAAGGGGTTATTGCATCAGGGTACTGGAAAATTCTATCTCCAATATCCTGATAAAATAAGCAGGGTTCAGTGGAAGTGGTGCATAAGGAATATGTGAACTCTTAAATATAATACTTTATCCTAGTCATGCAAATGTGATGGATAAAACTCCATCAACCCTCAGTAAACAGTATATAAATGATTTAATTTAATTACTCTGGTGGGCCAACTGACTTATGAAAGTTATACCCCAAAAGGTCAATTTACAAAGCCTAGAAAAGAGGCCACGATCATTTTACATGTGAAGGTCTAAATCCTTCATAGTCCTTCAAGTAATAGGAGATACTCTCCTGCATTTAAACCAAAAGCAACTTGTGCTGTTTAGACTTTTGATGTCAGGAAAAATGATCATGAAAGATTTTAGGGATAGTAGAGAGTGATGGGTTTTTAATGGAGTAGAATCATCCTACATTCTAATCTAAACCTTCATCACCGTTGAAACCATGGATTCTGGACAATGTGCTTTGCAAGAGGTTGTTTATTTTGCTTCTCTTTCCTTAGATAGTCTTTCATGAGAGTTTGGCTTTAATAGCTATGTGAAATAAGATAGACCTAGTGCCCTGCAGGGGAGAAAGATGGGGATTTCTACCCCAGTAAAGAGTTCGTCTCAGAAACTCACGGGGGGGGGGGGGGGGGGGGGGGGGTTCTACCCTGTCCTGTAGGGTTGTTATGAGTTGGCATTGACTCGATGGCAGTGAATGAAAAGTGCCCTGTAGACTTGACCTAAAAAAAGACTACCTTGTATTTGCCCATTTCTTCCATTCATGCTGCCACCGTCAAAGCAAATACCCCTTTGGTAAGCAGGGCTAACTAGTAAGTCCCAGAGTCACAGCTGCATTCAGTCTAGTATCTTGGAAACATGAGTTTCCAGGTAGTGTAGATGGGTTAGTTCCAAAACGTTTCCCCCCCCTCATATTTTAATTTTTTTCTCTTAGATAATTTTATTGGGAGCTCTTACAGATATCATAACATTTCATAATTCAATGGCATCAAGGAATATTGTACAATTGCTATCACAATCAGTTTCAAAGCATTTTCTTTCTTCTTGACCTTCTTGATATCAGCTCCCCTTTATCCCCTCCTTCCCCCCTCCCCTCCCAGGAACCTTTATTTATTTATTTTCTTTTTGCCATATCTTCCGCAATCCAATATATCCATTCACACACAATTCTGTTGTTTGCTCCCTTGAGTGGGGCTATACAGTTATCGGTGCTATCAGCTCCCTATCTCCCCCCTCTGCCTGTACCCTTAGGAAACCATTACTCCTGTTTTCTGAAGAGTTATTTATTTTGGATCATGTATTGAATGATCTTAAATATACAAATGAACATATGCAAGTCTAACATGATTAATGAGGTAAAATAAAAACCATAATAGTAAGGGGAGGAAATATTAAAAAAATACCTAGAGGATAGTATGCGGTTCAACAGTGCTATACTGAACCCTGGATTTGTAATCCCTTCCATGTGACCCTTCTGAGAGGGCCTGTCCAATTATCTTACAGGTGGGTTTTGGGTCTCCACTACATCCATGCCCCTTCACATTGATTTGGTTGCTTGTTTTTGAACTTCAATCTACACCCCATGATCATACAGGCTGGTGCGCTTATTCCATGTGGGCTTTTTGCTTCCCTGCTATATGGCTACAAATTTAACTACAAGCCTTTAAGACCCCAATCACTGTATCTTATAATACACAGGCACCATCAACTTTCTTCACTACATTTGCTTATGCACCCATTTTGTCTTCAGTGATACTGTCAGGAAAGTGAATATCATAAAGTGCCACATTATTAGAACAAACCATTCTTGTACTGATGTAATATTTAAGTAGAATCCCAAAGTCCATCTACTTTCTTATTGAATTTGCATATACAAACAAATACACCTAAATGTATCTATCTATCTATATATATACATGATGGGGTACCCCTAAAAGTGGATGTTTTCCAAAGCTATGTATTTAAATTATTTTACAAAACAACCTTATCACCTTCAAAATACTTTCCATTACATCTAATACATTTGTCAAATCTGCAATTCCCTTGTTGGAAACATTTTTCAAACTCATCCATTTGGATGGTTGACAGGGCCTCCCTCATTTTTTTTCTTCGCCTCTTCTATATTGCCAAATTACTGCCCTTTCATGTCCCTCTTAATTCATGGAAACAAAAAGAAGTCACATGGAGTGAAGTCAGGTGAATAAGGTGCATTGGGCTAGAGAGGCATGCTGGTTTTTTGTCAAAATGTGGCACACTGAGATGCCTGTGTGAGTAGGTGCATTGTGGTGGTGGCAAAACCAGTCCCCCATCTGCCACCAATCAGGCTTTTTTTGCTGTACACTGTTGTGCAATCTTTTCAGAACTTCTAAACAGAAAGCTTTATTAACAATCTGACCTGGTAGAATGAACTCCAAATGCACTACAAGTTGACAGTTTCATTGTTCTGGAAGTTGACAGACATCTAGAGTGACGTTTGTCATCAATCAACATTTCATCTTTTTTGAAGCAAGAAAAATACTTGTACTCTTGAATTTTCTCCAGAGCTCTGTCCTTGTAGGCTGTGTTCAACATCATAATAATTTCTGCAGCATTTTTCCAGAGTAGGAAACAAACTTTCACAACCACATGCTGTTCTTTTAAATCAAAGTTCAAGCAAAATTGCTTTTATGAAAAATTCACTGTGACCAGAGAGAACCTTCCCAGGCAACGACACTGGGTACACTAACTCAGAGTGAGTTGCTAGATGCTTGCTTAGTGGGGAAAATGTGCACTATGACTTTTTTTTTTTGGGGGGGTGTTTTATATATATATATATTCTTACTTTTTTCTTATTTCCACTTTTTTCTTTCCACACCCCCTCCGGTTCTATCACATTTACCCATCATTCACTTCTCAATAACTCCTGTCAGATACAATTCAATTGATCAACCATGACCAGAAAACTACACCCTCCTCGTCATCAGTTTTAGAACCCTTACTATCCCCCTGTACCCATCATTACTGGCTCACTACTCAACTCCTCTTCCTTTCTCCCCTTCAATGCCCCCCAGGAACTGTCAGTCCAGTCGCTGTCTCCATAATATTGCCTCTTGCCTAGCTTGTATAGATTAGCACAGTCCCCCACCCCCTAAAAAAATAAAAGAATTTACAGAAAGTCACAAGTCGAACAGGGTTCCTGACATAGAACAGATGAATATCTCTCTGTCAAAGAGAGAGGAGAACATGTTATAATCAGACAGTCCAGTCCTCTTTCTTTCAGGGTTACATATCCCACGTCTGGCTTACCTAACAACACGTAACACTTTTAGTCCTCAGCATTCGTGTCTGAAAGGCACACATCCTAAAAGTCCCCATTGCTATTCCTCCAGTCATGGATGGAGCAGTCTAGTGCTCTCCCACCCTCCTGCCATTTTAGACCGTCGGTGTAGTCCCCTTGTGAGTAACC